TCAAGGGACATTTGGCTTCAAATGGGGAAGAAAATTTGCTGGAAAAGGCCTCCTCAGAGCTGGGCATAGCTCTGTCTGATGGAGGCCTGACTTGCTTCTAAAAAGAGTGCGGCCTGGGTCCATCCCCTTTTCCCAAATCATTTTAAATCTTGCTGAGTCATTTCAATTTCAAGTCTAATTAACTATCTGCTTATCTCTCTTGGTTGAGCCTTCAATGTCTTTTTCTGTTTGGGCTAACAAAAACAAATGGTTAGAAGGACTATCAAACATGCAGATTCTCTTTTGCAAAGGTAGGGATATATTCTGGGGCTCGGTTGAGGGAGTCAGTGTAGGCTCCTCAGTCATCATCCGGTTTCGGACTTTAGCACTTTTTTTTTTTTGGTAGAATTTCACTCCTGTTGCCCAGGCTGGAATGCAATGGTGCAATCTTAGCTCACTGCAACCTCCACCTTCCAGGTTCAAGTGATTCTCCTGCCTCAGACTCCCAAGTAGCTGGAATTACAGGCATGTGCCACCATGCCTGGCTAATTTTTTGTATTTAGTAGAGATGAGATTTCACCACGTTGGTCAGGCTGATCTCAGGGTCAGGATGATATGTGTTAATTCAGATTCAAAGAGGCCCATCATTTATTTTGAAGTGAACTTTACATAACAGCAACTTGAACTGGACAGCAATGCTTGTGGAATCACCCTGGGCAGATAATGCGCTTATCAGGCCTGGACAACACTATATTCCTCTGGATCCCTACATATTCCCCAGAACCCCTTTTGGAGTCTTTTGCAGAGAAAGTCCTCAAAACTGAATTAAGTGGCTGATCCAGCACAGCTGAGGGCATCTAAGGATGCCCGAATATCCAGCCCCAGTGTCCATGTCTGAACCTTGCCTCTAATCCCTTTCTTTTTTTTTTTTTTTTTTTTGTATTTTTTAGTAGAGACGGGGTTTCACCGTGTTAGCCAGGATGGTCTCGATCTCCTGACCTCGTGATCCTCCCGTCTCGGCCTCCCAAAGTGCTGGGATTACAGGCTTGAGCCACCGCGCCCGGCCTAATCCCTTTCTTATTTCCAGTTTCAGATAGAAAAAATTCCATAACGGGGGTAGTCAATTCAGAATAGCTATGATGACAACAATAATGTAATAATGACCTAGACCGAGCACTCACTATGCATCAGACTGTGCTAAGCATTATTATTGTATGTAATCCTTACAGAATCTGGAGGCAATATGTTCCTATTTCACATTTCTTATTTCTATTTCAAAACCAGGGAAATTGAGCCTTAGGGAAGAACTGTTCAGTCACAGGGTTAGTGAAATATGAATCCCAGACCCCACGTCAAGTTAGTCTGATTCTGGAGACTGTGTCGTTAGTCATTACCCAGACTCACAAGCCTGGACCTTAAGGCACAGAAGGTTCTAGAAATGAAGAAATTTTTCTGGGCTGTATTACACTCAAAGCAAATTTAGCGTGAGAGTCCTGTCCTTGGGATTGATTATTTTCTTGTTTCCTTTGTTCTTCCTTTCCTTTGTCTCACAACTCTTTATTGAATTGTACCAGGAATTATGACGGACACCTGAGTGGGGTAAGGAGGCTAAACAAGAAAGATTCTGCTCATTCAGATCCCCTGCCCTCTTTCCATCCTTCTTCCCACGGGACTAATGAGCTGAACAATCCTAAAACATGACTATAGTCATGTCTTTGGGGGACTCCTGAAGACCCCTGTCTCCTACAGTTCAACTTGTCAAGCCTACGTTGTAATTCCTAGGCAGAATTCTGAGCTCTGCTGTCATCTTTTAGTTTTGCACTTATTCCAAATATTTTGATCCAAATATGCCCTTGGTGCCACGCTTTATTAATGCCGATATAACTCATATTAGTGAGTGTCTGTTTTGGAGCCACTTGCCCTGCATAAGTTATTGGGTTTCACTGTTTATCTTAGATGAAAAAAAAAAAAATTCCATATGCTCTGACCTCCTGACACCTAAGCCCTGCCTGTGCAGTTAAAACAGGAAAACTAGTTATTTGATATCATGAAGGCAATTCAGCTGGTAGACAAACTCAAATGTTTCCATTTCCACTGGAGTGTCTGCAATGTAGGGAACCATAGATTATTAATCAGGGATGCTCAGGAGAAAAATTGTTTCTTTTGTTTACTTGTTAATTTTCAAAATGAACCCAGTACAAAGAAGATACAGTCATGGCGCATTTATTTTGCATTGTTAGCACCTATCGTTATGTCATTGCATAAGAACCACTCAAATAAATTGTTTTAAAATCACATGGATGGCTTTATGCCCTTTCTCCCACCTGCCTGCAGAGTTGCCTGAAAAAAGAAAAAGCACGAACATCAGCCAGGCCATTGGGATGAGGATGCTGTTCACCTTGTGGGGGTGCCAGGCTAGCCTGGGTGTCTGGGGTCAGGCTTTGTCAGACCACCAGAGACAGGGCAGCTCACAGTCCAGAACTGATCGTAGGGGATCCTGAGCCACCAAGTCAGTAACGGGAACCAGGGTTGAGAGTGGAGTGCGAAATTTATACCGTGGACCAAAACCTCCGAGGAGGAAGCAATTTCATTTAAGGACATTTTCTTCCTAGTTTTAATTTTCCTTTATTTTAACTGCTACACATTTGTTTCTCACCAGATTCCTCAGTGTGTCTAGTTGTTCTGTCATGGGTGTTCCCGAATGCACTGCCACATGAATTTATCTCTAAAGAACGTACTGGCTGTTTTGGGAGAAAAGATGCTGGTTTACGTCATGTGAAATAAAAATGCCTAACATTTACTGAGCACTTACTTGTACCAAGTGTTGCACTAAGATGTGCATGGAATATTTCAGGTAATTCTCAGAACCTACTGTCTGGGTGCTATTACCAAGCCTAATTACTGTTGAGAAAACAAAAGCATGAAAAAGGTAAGCAATTTGCCTGAGGTCGCAGACCAAGTAAATCGCAAACCTCCCCTGTAGCCTGATGGAGTTCATGCTCCTCACAGTGACCCCCATGTTCCTCTAGATGGAGGCAGCGCTTGCCTTGGTGTCCATCTGGAGCTATTGGCAGGGGCTGCATCTCCATCTCCGCTAAGTACCTATTGTGCTAACACGCACTTGCAAACTACTGAAAGGGACATTGGGGTGGAAAGCAAAACTAAACATACTCTTACGATATGATCTAGCAATCACACTTCTTGGTATTTACTCAAATGAGTTGAAAATTTATGTCCACAGAAAAACCTGCACATGAATGTGTATAGCAGCTTTATTCATAATTGCCAAATCTTGGAAGCAACCAAGGTGTCCTTTAATAGGTAAATGGATAAACAAACTGTGATACATCCAGACAATGGAATATTATTCATCAATAATAAGAGATGAGCTTTTGCACAGCTTAGGCATAATAATAATAGTAAAGCACATTGCTAAGTAAAATAAGCCTATATGAAAAGTCTACATACTGTATGATCCCAGCTCTGACAGCCTTGAAAAGGCAAAACTATAGGGACAGTAAAACAAACAAACAAACAAACAAAAACCCAGTGGTTTCCAGGGGTTTTAGGGAAAGGGAGGGTTGAATAGGCAGGCAGAACACAGAAGATTTTTTGCTCTCTCTCTCTCTTTTTTTTTTTTTTTTTTTTTTTTTTTTGAGATGGAATCTAGCTTTGTCACCTAGTCTGGAGTGCAGTGGTGCGATCTTGGCTGACTGCAACCTCCACCTCCTGGGTTCAAGCGGTTTTTCTGCCTCAGCCTCCCGAGTAGCTGGGACTACAGGTGCACACCACTACACTGGCTAATTTTTGTGTTTTTAGTAGAGCCAGGGTTTCACCATGTTGACCAGGCTGGTCTCGAACTCCTGACCTCAAGTGATCCTCCCACTTCAGCCTCCCGAAGCGCCAGGGATTACAGGTGTGAGCCACCACGTCTGGCCCACAGAAGATTTTTAAAGCAGTAGAACTATTTTCTATGATATTGTAATGATGGATATATGTCACTATACATTTGTCAAAATCCATAGAATGTACAACACCAAGAAGTGAACCCTAATGTAAACTATGAACCTTCCTTAATAATAATGTATCAATATTGGCTCATCAGTTGTAACAAATGAAGACTAATGGAAAATGTTAACAACAGGGGAAACTGATGAGGAAATATATATCTCTGTGCTTTCCATTCAATTTTTCTATAAACCTAAAACTCCTTACCAAAAAAAAAAAGCCTATTGACTTTTTAAAAGGGACATTGATGAACTTGAGTAAGAGGGGCTGGGAGATAGGACTGGAAAAATATTTTCACCCCTTTCTACTTTTTGCATGTTTTTATTATCTTTTCAAAAAGAAGCTAATTTTTAAAAAGCCATTTCAATGTCTCTATTAATATTTGCTATTCAAAATAAATTAGGCTGGGAGAGGTGGCTCACAGCTGTGAGCTGAGGCAAGAGGATCGCTTGAGCCTATGAGTCCAAGACTAGCCTGGGCAACATAGTGAGACACTGTCTCTACACAAAATTTTAAAAAATTAACTGGATATGGTGGCACCCACCTGTAACCCCAGCTACTTTCGAGGCTGAAGCAGGAGGATCTGTTTGAGCCCAGAAGACTGAGGCTGCAGTGAGCAGTAATCTTGCCACTGCACTCCAGCCTGGGCAACTGAGCAACACACTGTCTCAAAATATAAAAATAAAAACAAAATAAATTAAAATGTAAAGCCAAGGAAAGAATCTCATCTTCATGATCCTGAGGATATGGCCTTGTGTTTGACCCATTTTTAATGATGAAATTATGATCTCTTGTTCTTGACACATTAGAAGCACCAGACCCAAGAATGATCCCCTTGGTGAGAAAGTGGTAGGGGAATCTACTTGATGAGGTTGGGGGTCCCTAGGCCTTCATGCTGCCTGCTCCTGCCCTTCCCAGATCCACACACTTTTTTTTTGTTTTGTTTTAGACGGAATCTCACTCTGTCACCCAAGCTGGAGTACAGTGGCACGATCTTGGCTCACTGCAACTTCTGCTACCTGAGTTCAAGTGATTCTCCTGCCTTGGCCTCCCAAGTAGGTGGGATTACAGTTGTGCACTATGACGCCTGGCTAATTTTTTGTTGTATTTTTAGTAGAGACAGGGTCTCGCCATGTTGACCAGGCTGGTCTCGAACTCCTGACCTCAGGTGATCTGCTCACCTCGGCCTCCCAAAGTGCTGGGATTACAGGCGTGAGCCCCCACACCCAGCCAGCTCCACACACTTTGTTTCACTCCTCAGAGACTTTACAGAGAGCTAACTCTAGTGATCCACTTTGAGGCTGCTGAGGTGAGGTAGTGTATGAGAGAGAGAGAAAAAAAAAAAGGCAAAGAAAAAGAAAAGAACAAAGAAAGAGAGAGGAAGGAACAAAGGATGAAAGGAAGAGGAGGAGGGAGGGAGAGAGAATATAATTTTGATGGCAAATCAGGAAGCCGGTGTGGTATCCCATTAAAGTCCTGGTTTTGGCAAGTGATTCCTGAAAAAGAAAGAAGGGTACCTTCATATTTTCTAGCAAACAATGAGGCTGGAATTTCTCCTGATTCTTCTCTACTTCCAACCGTGGAGGGAGCACTAAACCAAAAAGAGGATTCGCTTGTATATGCCACCATTTCCTGCATCCCCTCCACCAGGCCTGGGAGACGCCATTAATCACACAACGCGTCCATCTGTGTGCCTGTCATTTGAGCTGCTCCCTACGGTCAGAAAAACAGACAACAGGCACATGCCAAACACTTGGCTGTGTGGGTCGTCAGTGATAACTGGTAGAGAAGTTACTTCTCTTTGCCTTCCTTTTAATCTTCACCAAATCCAATTTACTCTTAGAGAATGAGGGAACTATGTTTAGAGAAAATGGATCAAACCCAATTCCATTTGGCTTTCTTGCTGAACTGAAGACATTAGAGGTTTTAAACATCACTGAACAGTGTTGATGCAAGTGACACACACACACACACACACACACACACACACACACAAATCTGATGCAATTGGGGCTTTCTGAACAACCCATTTTTCTATCTAATCAGTTGAGGAATCCTTGGTTTTAAATACAGAATAAGTCATGACAAGTATCTTATTTAGTTGTGTTACACACAGTTTTGGATTGGAAACTTTCCGTTCTTCTTTTCTCCCCAGAGGAGGTTATATTCATGAAGTCTGATCTACAAAGGGATTTCTGAAGCTATGGGATATTATTCTCAACATGAATTGTATTTGGGATATATGGAGCCCCCAAAGGCTTTGATACAATTTTGTTATTGGCTCAATGTAAAATTCTCAAAGAGCCAAAACTGATGGCTCTTTTCCAGGCAGAGAAAGCTTTCAGAGAAGTGCTGATTCTTCCTGCAGGGGCTGAAGGCTGTTGACTTGAGTGTGCCTTTGGGGTCCTTTAAGAAGAATCTTTAGATGGCACCAAAGTTTCTGTGCAAATGCAAATATAAAAAAGGTGTGATCCTATCTCTACAAGTAAATTAATCATATGAGAAAGTAAGCATTACACTTAAACTCTCTACATCCTCCTTCTGATTCTAAGACACGTTTTTGGATCAGCAAACCATGTACCTGGAGTTTTATTTCATGTAATTTATTTTTCAGGAACAGAAGTGGACTTGGGCTGTCCACCCCCACCACTCTTGCTGAGGTGTCTCACTACTACCCAGACGTGTGAATTCATGTGACAGCTGGTATGAGTTGTGGTCACAGAACAAAGGAGGCTAAGCGGGCATGATTCTCAACTTTGGCTTCATTCATGCCATTTTCTACCAGTTAAGCCTCTAGAGTCAAACTTGAAGAACTATCAAGTGGAACTCTTGAAGAATGGACTTTCTTTCCACAGTGAATACTTCATTGATTTTCACTGGTTCCCTGAATAAAGCAGCAAGAAACTCACCACTTCTTTATTGAAGGCTCTGCTTCAGCCACTATGTCAAACGCGTTACACTCTTTAACTAAACTTAAATATGGTCTATAACCCTTTGGGTGGTGTTGTTTCTGTTTCATGGATGAAGATGAAGATATCGACACTTTGAGGTTACAAAACCATCACCATCATCAACAGAAACAACGGTGTTTAACTCTGATTGAGAATTTACTCTGCTCCTAAAACATGGAAAGCATGTCACAAATCTTCACACAACTGGGTAAGCATGTCACAAATCTTCAAACAAGTTTGTAAACTAAGACTATTAACATTCCCATTTTACAGTTGAAGAAACTGAGGCCTAGAGAATTAAATGATGTGCCCAAGGTCACAGAATGCATCATACAGAGGTGGAGGAGGAGTTAGCTTCACTCCAAAGTCTTTGATCTTCATCGTTAAAATTTCTGGCCGTGTAGTAGAGTAGAAATGAACTGAAAATTGATGTCAGGTTTACACAAATTATTTTATTAAGAAAAGAGGCCAAATGTGGTGGTCCATGCCTATAATCCCAGCACTTTGGGAGGCTGAAGTGGGTGGATCACTTGAGGTTAAGAGTTCAAGACCAGCCTAGCCAATGTGCTGAAACCTCGTTTCTACTGAAAATACAAAAATTACCCAGGTGTGTTAGTGCGCACCTGTAATCCCAGTTACTCGGGCGGCTGAGGCAGGAGAACTGCTTGAACCCGGGAGGCGGAGGTTGCAGTGAGCCGAGATAGTGCCACTGCACTCCATCCTCAGTGACGAGCAAAAACTCCAGCTCAAAAAAAAAAATAAAAATAAAAATAAAAAAAAGAAGAGAAGAAAAATGTTAGGACAAAGGAGAAGAACTATAAAATCTTATGACTGGAAGTTTATCAATCATAAGTATTGAAAAATTAAACATTCCTAATAACTACAGATATCCATAAAATGTTGCACAAAATTAAGGGCAACTTTCTTCAGTGTCAACAATACTGACAGCAGTAGTTTCATAGTCATGGAGATTTTTGTTATTATTGTTAACATTTTCCAAAATTTAACACAACTTTAATACATGTGAAAGTAGAGCTTAGACAATAAAAGATATCAGATCTTGGGGTATTACAATGACTTCTTTTTTAAAAGAGTATTATCATATATTGCTTTAAAATAACACTCAGGAAGCCAAAACCATTAGCATGAATGATAACTTGAGATTGTAAGGATTATGTGTAAATGTGAAAGAAGAGATAACTACGTTTATATATCTAATGGTCACCCTTAGGTATTATGTGATAACATGCGGCCTTAACCACTGAGGACAAGAGGGCCATTTCCTTCTTTGGATTAGGCATTCCCAGGTGTGATTCTTACAGTTACCTCTTCTTCCTATTCAGTATTTAAGCACTTTTAGTTCATCTGAGGGAATGAAAATAAAGATACTTTCTTCAAGAAAGATGAATGAAAATATTGCTGATTTAACCAAGTGCAAAAAATCTCATTTAGTTTTATTTGTTGAGATTGTAATGAGCATCCGAAGGGAAACTAAGTGCCTTTCACAAACTTTTATTCGTGCACGTAGATCACAATGTGGATAAGCAAAAGTTGGGCTCCCAGAGAGGTGCAATTGCATATGGCGCCACTCAGAACCAAGGGGTTTCAGCCTCTTTATGTTTTACGGACCTGTATCAATCTTTCCATTTCCAACGTTTCCCCTTTTCCCTCCTCCCCACTGCCAGCACTCACACGTGTGCACAGTCATCACAGGAGGGAGGGAAGTTTATTCTCCATAAACAATTTGCTCCTTGGCCACTCTGAATCTGCCAACCAGGTTGCCAATTCTGATGTAGACACCTGTCCATTTGGAACAAGAATGAAAACAGCCACTCATTTTCTAGAAACCATCAAACACCCTGTCAGCGAACAACAGCTCTCCGTTCACTGCAATCTGGGCAAGACATGAATGGGTCACATGGATAGACAATTACTGATCCTCCAAGTCATTCAGCTTTCTTCAAATTGATGAAAGTTTCTGATCCCTTCCCTACAATGTAGTCTTAGAAAGGGTATCTTTTAATGACAGTGATAATAAGCTGCTAAAACTTTATTTCTTTTTGTTATGCAAGTGGGTTCTTAAAACAATACTATCAAGAACCTGCTAATGAGAGTACACGGCCAATCCATATTTTAAGATGGCTTCCCAAATAACATTTTCCTTGTTGTAATAACAACAAAAATGATTTCCAACCACATCACTACCAGATACTGCAAAATTTTTCATACTTTCAAATAGAAGCCAGTATACTTTCCTCTCTCCTCCCCTGTGCGCATGTGTGTGCTTGTGGGGGGGGGTGTGTGTGTGTGCGTGTGTGTTGCAGGGCTCTTTGGCCCTTCACCTTGTTCCTTGTTTAATAAGATACTGCCCTGGTCCCTCTAAGTCTGACATCTTCATGAATCTTGGGCAAAACATATTTTAGGTCAGTGCCACCTATTACTTTCAGGTGAAATGAATTGTTGCCATTGAAGCAAACTTTCTGAGAAGCCTGAGTCCTGTGTTTAGGAGCTCCTGTCTGGGGAAGACTGGGAACTAATGTGGATTTAATGTTGTTATGAGCCAGGCGGCTGAACTGAGTAACAATACAAGTCTGTTGGACATGTCTTCTGGGTTGTCACGTTCAATTTGCACATGACCTCCTGGCCAAAAAATGGGAAAGAAATGGTAGAATGTGGGACTGAAAGCTCATATTATTGCTTTGACAGCTTCACTCATCTAGAAGTAATGCAAAATGCAATTTATATTTATACACTCTGACCTCCTGTGCAGAGAGGGAAAGTATCTAATGATGGGCCGAGGTAGTAAAGGAAGAAACAGATCTCAGTACAGCTGGAATTTGTCTACATTTTTGCTTTTCAACCATTCAATTACAGTCAAAAGATAAATGAAACACAGACAGTACAGTGGTGAGGTAGTGACACAATTATTTTATAGTGACTGGGTTCTGGCTTTGAGTCTTGGCAAAGGTGGCTGCATCACGCCTTATTTCACTGGAGACAGATAATCTGCCTGCTCCCACCGGACAAAGGCCCCTCTGCTTGTAGGTGCGTCATTATGCCCATCAGAGAGGAAAAAAGACACCAGCGAGTCAGTGACACTCTGGATCTGCATTTAGAAATTCTTGAGAGAGGCTGACACGTTAATCCTATTAACCAAGATAAATCAAGTCAGGCCTGGTGGTAACTGGGGCATTATTCACTTTCGAGTGGAAATAGGCAGTGGGCAAAAAGCACCATTTTCTTTTGTGCATCAGGAAATTTACTGGTTTTTACATGTCCCTAAATAGCTTCTCTTTGAATAGAACCTATAAGCCAATGGGAGAGAATGGATCCTCAAATATATCCTGAGTAATTCTGACCAGTATTTTAAAAGAATACCGTTTTCAGTAACTGCAGCTTCATAGTTTCTCCAAAAGTAGGTCTCACAGGGGAAGGGGATTCTGGCTTTTTCCAGAGATTAAAGAGGACAGAAATAATCACCTTTATAAAGTCAGTAGCACCTGCACAACTGATGATGAAATACCACTTTAAGATGTTCATGATAAGAGCCCAGCTTGAGACCCAGAGATCAACCTTGAGAAATAAAATAAAAAGAGAAATGAGAGATCACAATAAACGATGAAGTATATATAGTATTTCTAAACTGATTGCTCCAATACAAATGCATTTTTTTTTCTATATTCTTTCTAATTTTTTCTTCTTTGGCGGATACAAAAACCTCTTCTGCCTATTTTTCCAGATATTAAACTTCTCCTTACTATATCTCACCATTGTCTGCAGATGCAAAAGACAGAAATGTTTTTTCTTTTTAACTGAGCAGAATTGACTTCTTTGTGGAGGAATGTGAAATAACCACAACTCTCAAATCGAATCTTTCTATGTTCCCTCTCTTATCACAGTTCATGACACAAAATTCCCACCGCCCCCAATTCCCACTCTACCCCTCAATGGAAGTCATCTGCAGAATTCAGCTGGCCAATTTCTCCAGGTTTCCTTTAGAGAATAGAATGTGTTTTGGATTTTGAAAGTATTGTTTCTTAAGGTTTTCTAGCTTCCCAGCGCAGAAAGAAATTTGCAGAAAGTGTGTGAATTGGGTAAGAGGCATGGGCAAGGAGGTGTGAGAGGCAGGCGGTCTGAATTGGGGGCACTGGGTGGAAACTGTGAGCATCTCTCTTGGGGCGAGATGCCCTGAGAAGGGAGGGTGGCCGGCCATGAAGCCAGGTCAGGGTAGGCTGTTTCCGTTTCAATGGCTGACTGAATGAGAACAATCTCCTAGCCTCTCTCCTCATTTTGGAACCCCCCAAGAGGAGTTCCCGGGTTGGATGTGAGGCCTTAAGGGTCAGGGAGGAGACACTCTGACACTATCTCCATCAGAGGCTGCCCGACTTCCTTCTTTATTCTTATTTTTATTTATTTTTTTGAGACGGAGTCATGCTCTGTCACCCAGGCTGGAGTGCAATTGCGCCACCTCAGCTCATTGCAACCTCCACCTCTCCGGTTCAAGCGATTCTCCTGCCTCAGCCTCCCAAGTAGCTGGGATTACAGGCGCACGCGACCGCGCCCAGCTAATTTTTGTATTTTTAGTAAAGACAGGGTTTCGCCATGTTGGTCAGGTTGGTCTCGAACTCCTGACCTCAGGTGATCCACTTGCCCCGGCCTCCCAAAGTGCTGGGATAACAGGCGTGAGCCACCGCGCCCGCCCCCACCGCCTTCTTTAAATAAACTAAGGACAAAATAAAGCAGTAGGAAGGCAGCTGCCCGGGTTCAGCGTTGGTTTCCCTCTCCAAGTTGCCTGCCTCTTTATTCCTACCCACGTCCTACCCGCCTACTCCCAAATATCGGGTGACATCAAAGCCATGGCTTCTCTGTCACAAACTGTTGAAGACAAATGAAAAAAGCCTGGGAGACTCGCAGGCTCCCACTGGAGACCTTAGTGTATTCTAAGGCGACTTCTCTG